TGAACCACACACACCACCCAACAAACATCAGAGAAGGCTGAATAATCTAACTTTAGTTTAAAGAGGTGATTTGTAAAAATGAATATAGTACTTGTATCACTCATCACTTCATCTTTACTGAATCACAGCAAGATGACAGCAAAAATAAATTACACTCTAAATAAAAGGAGACTGGATCACAAATAGAATCAATACTTACTGACGACGATGCATTCCAAGTATCTTCTGAAATTCTTTCAGTTCCTTCTCAAGAATGGGATATTCATACACATCATCTAACACATTCCTGTATATCGTCTACAAAATAAAACAGTATCTGCAAACAGCTGATAACTCAAACATAAATCTAAGGCATCACATTAGTGGTCGAAATCAATTCGGACACTGGCCTACTGAAACAAATTTCATTATTATAGTTATGCAAGACCTATAAAGTGAGAATGTTCCCGTTTAAATTTCCAGACTGGTCAATATTCAACTTGCCTTTGGAGAAACACTCTTTATATCATCACCAAGCGAGAGAGCAAAATGTTGACACTCTTTAGTCTACAACAGGAAGACTTAAAACAGCCCTTGGGGCTGTTATATGAAATCTGCGGTGGGTCAGAAGAACGCATTCTGAAGCATGAGAACATAGCATCACTTATCCAAAATGGTAACAAATAGGTTTATTTGATTAAGACTTTTTAAATGGAAAATGTTGTCCTTCACTTTTCCTCACGTCCACATGCATTTTAAATTGAATTGATGTCTCTCACAAACAAATAATCATACTCCTAGGTGTAAACCAACAAATAAATAAACTCTACTTCTTACTTTTGGGAAGGCATTTCTGAATATCATCAATCAGGAACCTCAGTTAAATGTAAAAGACACTACCTCAGATAAAAGGTAAATAAACTGAATTGGCTTTCATGAATTAAATTGTAGGAATACTTTCTCTACACTTTTTCAGAATCTGCACATACATATTTTTTTTCCCTTCTAAGCAAATGAGGAGGATATGTATGAACCAAGTCATCAGGTTTGCTTTTGGCCAACTAACACTCCTACATTCAGAAATTTCAGCACAAAGTACTGTGGATTGGTGACTAAACTGGTCAAGGGGCTGGAAAATAAAACTTATGGGGAACGGCTGAGGGAGTTGGGGCTGTTTAGCCTGGAGAAGAGGAGGCTGAGGGGAGACCTGATTACGGCCTACAAATACTTGAGAAGGGATGGTGGGGAGGTGGGGGAAGGGCTCTTTACATTAGTGATGGGTGATAGAGCAAGAGGAAATGGGTATAAGCTTAGTCAGGGGAGATTCAGGTTGGATGTTAGAAAGTATTTCTTCTCTGAAAGGGTTGTCAGCCACTGGAATAGGCTGCCCAGGGAGGTGGTTGAGTCCTCATCCCTGGATGTGTTTAAGAATAGGGTGGATGAGCTACTTAAGGATATGGTTTAATGGGAGATTAGGGACGGTTGGACTGGATGATCTCTAAGGGCTTTTCCAACCTAGAAATCTATGAAAAATTATGCTTTATGGATTTTGCTGTTGGGGCTTTTTAGATACAGTATATTAATTAAACAGTGGTAAGATGCATCAGAAAGTGTTTCAATACCTTTAAAAATTGTTTTAAATGCTCATCTTCGTGTAACCAGTCTTTGTAGAGAGAAGTCCACTGAGACACCAAATGCAAGACTTTTCGTTTCCTACAGGAAACATCAGAGTCATCTTCTTTCCCTTGGTGGTTCTTAGCGCAATAGGTATAGTAGGTTAAGGAATGAACAGTAAGGTCTCACTGAAACTTAAAAATTAAGTGATGGAAAAGACTTCACATTCATTTGCTAATATAAGATTTTTTTTTTCACTACATTGCTCAGTTTTAAATATTTTATCCCATCTGGAGCTTTAGGAGTTTCATCAAGTTTTTGGAATGAAATTCTCATGAATAGAAATGTCAGTTCATCCTCTGTGCAAACAGGATTTTTTTTCCTTTATAGATTGGAGAGGCAAGTCTACAAAAGTAAAATCAATTCAAAAGGAATTATACGATGTTGAGTCCTGTCTTTTCTGCAGAACTGGGAAAGAACCTTTGTCCTGCACACCGATGCCAACACGAATGTCTGTGGGAAGGATGACAATGCATCATTAACAACAACAAAAAGGCCAGGCAGAGGAAGTCAGTTTCTTTTTCCCTGCACAAATTACACTATCTGCAGAAATAACACTATTAAAATAAAAGAAAAGGTGAAAGAATCTATTTCCACCTTTTTTCTCTATTCACAAAGCAGAAACACCAAATGACACAAGATAACCACGTTGTACATTGTTCCTATCCCTTCGCTATTCTTTCTTTTATTAGATGAAGAGATGTTTTCACTACAAAAGGTAAAGAGGAAAAAAGAAAAGAAAAATAAAAGCAAGTTCATTTTATAGCTAAAAGTTAATTCAAACAATACTCCACAGCTTGTGGCAGTAATTGGAAATACAAGAAAAAAATTATTTATCTCAGAATGAGTTAGACTTACATACTGTATCACATGATAAAAGGAGCAGAGATTGTAAAATACTTACTATTCATTTTTTTCTCTTCACATATTCTGAAACGTGAAGAGAATCTGAATATATATATCTGAATATTCTATACAGATATAGGTATCCTAAGAACTAACACATAGGTCTGGATAGGCTTTAATCCCATATTAAGTGTTCATTCTTTAACACTTATAAAGATTCATATGTATCTTTAAACAAAAACAGCAGACATAAGACTGCATTGCTGCTGTGAGAGAAGCATCTGTCTCATACATCTTTCAAGCATTCATGTGAAGTAAGTATGCACATACACAAATGTGTGTATTTTGGATACAGGTTTATTCAGAGGCAGCTTTAGCTTTGTACATTCAACTTCAGAGCAGGAATTTTCTGTTTATTGGTTCCTCAGCTATGCAAATTCTAAATGTTTTAATGAATGTCTGTCTCTCTATTTACAAGCACATGCCAATTAAGGGAACTCATATCCAAATTTGGATCTATTGTTTCCAGTTTTAATCTTTTCCTGCACTATCCATTTGAGTTAAGAAATCAATATAACCTGAACTTTGGGAAGCTACAGATTTTAATCAAATTCCAAGTATCATAAAATCTTATGAAAATTGGACTGGAGATGAAGAGACCTTGAAAGATCAGCTAAACTAGTCGATCCTAGTCCACTGTAAGAGAGTCTCAAGTATACTCTATGTTATTCTTGGAATATATTTTCTAGTTTCTTCTTCCTATTAGTCTCCAATATCAAAGATTCTACGGTCTGACACATTTTCCACTCCAGTGTTTCTTTTCTTAATGTAAAGAAAAATATTTCCTAGTATCTAACATGAAAATTTTACAGCAATTTAATCTCACTACCTCTTGTCCGTCCTATCTGGCATCGATATGGGAACAGATTCTTTCTTTCATCTTTAGGCACCTGAAAGATTGTCCCATTTATAGTTTCCCTTTTTTCAGTAAAACAATCCCAATTCTTTTGATCCTTCTTTGTAAGTCTTTTTTTCTAGAATACTGATAATTCCCATTGCTCTCTTCTGAAGTTTCTCTTATTTGTTCATGCATTTCTTGGGGTGTGATGCCCAAACTTCAGGTGTAGTCCACCTTCTAAGCATGCCATGGTAAATATGTTCTCTTTTCTCACCATTCTTACATGCAACCTCAAAACAATCATGCGGGGTTGTTTTTCAATAATATCAATACTCAAAGAGCAAAACTAATTATCCCAGGCATGCAATTTACTAAGTTTGATATAAGGCTTGACAATATACAAACCTGGGTGTAACTGTGTGACCCTTGTTAATACAACACTTAATAAAAGGATATTGCCTCAGAAGTGCCTGGCACAAGTCATCAGTCGTCATGAAGACAGTGTACGTGAGAAGGAAGTCATCCAGGAGAGTTTCTGCAGAGGAAGACAAAAAAGCCCAACAATACATTACTGAGAGAAGGAAAAGAGTACCTACTCCTATTAGTGTGCATGGCAGGAACAGGACTCCCCCCTAAAAAAAAAGCCCAAAGTATACAGAATACATCAAACTTTAAGTTTCAAACAAGTGTTTCCACTGCAGAGATCAGATCCTTTATTTAACAAGCACATCCTCAGTTCTCAGAGAACCAACAAGCACGAATACGCACACAGTAAACCACAGTTCAGGAATCAGTAAGAAAGAGTTCTTATCATGAACACCACCATCCCGGTTGGCTCGGCTGCATGCAAAGCAACCTTTCTATCAGCTAAGTTGTTCTGGAAATTCAGAAGAAAAGCTTTTAGTAATAGGAAAGAGAAAATTGTGATTGCCGTGTACTGTGATTAAAATCTACATACAGTAGTTGAGAACCATGAAGTAAATATATTCAAATCTTTAGCAGGTTAGTCATGTGGGCATCGCTTAAGTGCTGAGAAGCTTTGTCTAAGGTTTACTTAATTACATTATGGAAGTATTTCTTCATCACCTGATTTCTATCAGTGTTACAAAAATCGGCTGAAGGTACTTGCTGACAGACCATCTCTACCCAATGCAGTTGTAGTGCCTCAGGTTGTCAGGATAAATGGCACTGCCAATTTGGATCTCAGAGTAACTTTCTCATTCCTCATTCCCATGACATACTAGTTTCAGGATTTCTCCAAACCTTTACCACACACAGCAGGGAGGCTGAAAGGGCTGGGTTTGCTCTAAGATGAGAGGGCTCAGGGGAAATCTTGTGGCGGTCTTCAAAACCCCAATGGCATAGTAAGAGAAGATCAAACCAGGCTTTCCCTGAAGGCATGCAGCAAAATGACAAGGGGCATCCATCAGGAATTGCAACAAAGGAATATTTGTCTAGATACAAGGGGGTTTTTTTCCTCTCTTGTGAGGAGAGTCAACCACTGGGACAGGTTGCCTAGACAGACTGCACAATTTCCAACACCAGGTATATTCAGAGCTTGCCTGGGCAAAGCTCTGAGCATCCTGGTCTTACTGGACCTGCTTTGAGTGGCGGTTGGACCAGACACCTTCACAGAGCCCTTCCAACTGAAATTAGTGTACAATTCTTAAACAAATTTGCATCCAATTTTAGTAAATTACTCCTATATGATGTGTGATCTAGGAATGAATTTGTATTTGGTTCACAAACAATGAATTCTTTAATTTTCTTCAGACAAGAGAATTATCTTGGTCTTTTTAACCCTCAAATAAAAATGTTTGTGTTTGGGGTTTTTTTTGTTTGTTTTTTATTCCCCAAATGGCAAGATTTTCCTCAAGTTTTGAGGAGTTCCTGTTCACCATATTTCTTTGAATTCCAGTAGATATACTGTGCTCCCTTTAACAAGAAAACATGTTTCCACCATCTGCTTTGTCAGATAAAAACAGGAACATAGACAGAGGCTGAACAACAACAGAAGTCATACCGGTTATATTGCAGAGTGAAAAATACTTTACCAGTATAACTAATTGTTTCTAGTTAGTACCAATTATCCAGTTGTGATTTAAGTGGTGGGTTTACAACTGTAAAGACTATGGGCCGAGCCATAGAGAAAGGTAAGGCTGAGCCCTGATTTCCTTATCCTGATTTTCTCACTATTTTTTCGTGATGAGTTATAGTCCAAGCTAGTGTTTGTGTACGTGTGTGCAACTAAGAGCATCCCAGCAGTTTTTCATGCCAAGACTGCAATTTCACAATAATTTAGACCAATTTCAGTTACAGCTGTCTTGGATCTCCTTGTCAGTAAATTATTGACCCCATAGCTGCTTTGCAGGATGGCAATAAGAATTCATTTGTGTATCATTCAAAGCCAGATATCATGCGGATATCACATGGATGGACAGCTAATGACATCCCACCCTGGGAGCATGGGATTCAAAATAACTCCATTGTCTTATTTTTTTTAAAAAAAAAATCTAGCTAGATCAATGCATTTAATACGGCTGGTCTAGAAAGAGTCCTGATCTGAAAACACATAGCTAAACCCTCTTACATTCAGAAACAAAACAATTAAATTCTTTATATTTCACCAACACTGTTAAAAATGGTGGAAAGTATTATCACTGTAAAAAAGAATATTTTGTCTCAGTAAATGAAAAGACATTGTGAACAGCTTGTTCTCTATCCGAAAGGTCATCCATTCATTCCGTTGCACATCTTTTGGATGATACAATGTAGCTATTAACGTTGGATGTTTCAAAAACATTTATTTGGCAACTGCTGTTCTTGGAGTCAACAACCACATTTTAGTTCTTGACTAAACTATGGGGCTGTGCAGTGATCCTCAAGAAATCGGATATACTTACAAGGGACTATTTCCCCAACTTTCTACTCTGTATAGGTGATATATGAGTTTCAACAACACATAGCCACGTGTTCAGAAAAGAAATTAAGTACTAGCTGAAGCAAAACAGGAAAGCTTATCAATGATCTTCTGCCATTGTTCAAAATAGCATGATTTTATCTTGCTAACTGGTGTTAAAATAGTAATTTAAAAGTTTATTTTTAATACCTGATCATCTGTTTTTCATATGTCTATGTTCAATTCTTCCAGCATCCCAAAGTGTTGGGGTGGGAAGAAAGGCTGGTTTTGCTATGATTTGAGGGTTTTGCTTTTTTGTTTAAACTTTTTGCAAGACCTATGCTACAGATACTACTAATGCAATTCTCTAAAAAAAAAAAAAAAAAAAACCAAAAAAAAACAAACAAGAATTGAAGATTAAAAATGTATGTTGGTTCAGATTACTTACAACTGGTTTTAGGCTCTCTGTTTATCTCCCTCTCTATGCAACCTCAATTATACATCTACCTTTTCAGTTTCTGGCTTCTAACAGCCTTCTCAAAACAAGGTTTATCACTCGGACAACTTAACATCGCACATATATACACAGAGTGATTTCCTTTTTCTTCTAAATGTAGAGAAAATGCTAAGAAGAAGAAAAACTCACAAACAACAATTGCCATAGCTTCTATATAGGGTAGATCTCTTCAAATTGCCTCTAAATTTGTTTAGAAATTTAAACCTTCAAGTAATGTTTTGAACAAAAAAAGTCTGGATTCTACATGTGGTCCATTAATAGCATCACTCATCCGTTAAATTACTTTAACAAGTAAGCAATGAAAGTGCTTTTGCTAGATTAAATATCTATTACCAGACGTCACCTAAAGACTTTACAATAATATTCATATTTCAAAATGCCTGCAACTAGCTTGTATGTACTTCCCTGAGGTCCTACTGTTCACTGTAACCATCTTCTGTAGTTTCTTCCTAAATGCACTGTAATTTAAAATCATTCAAGAATGGTTTTTCATGCCATAGCAAGGACACAAAACCCAAGGGTGTGCTGATTCTTCAAAATAATTTGTTCAAAACAAACAATTGCACATTTCTCAGATACTTTTTTTGGACAATAATACACAAATAATGACTTGCTGGTCTAAACAGAAAAAGGCTAAGCATGAGAGAATTTATTCACAGCAAATTTTTCATTCTGTGTTACTAATAACCACTAAGAGCAGTAAATTTGAATGAGGAAGGGCTCTAAGTGTACAAGTTGGGCCGATAATTATGAACAGAAGTCTTTCTGAGGTTTTTCTGTTGAGTCACAGTTGATTTAAGAGTTAAAAAAAGGCAATTCCAGTCAAATCATTAATTATTTACAGTGAACCATACCCTCACCCAGAATGGCAGTGAAATGCATACCTCTGCTTTTAAATTTTACACTATGTCCCAGCTTCTGCAAAAATTTGTGACCCCCTTCCCCGTTATTCACATACTATAAGTTTTTCTAGTATTTCTAGCAAACAGGGAGAATAAAATGCACAGTAACAGTTGGAAGAGAAAAACTCCGATTGGAAGGGAAGTCTTTGTGCAAAAGCCTGTCATGCTATGCTATTTTATTTTAATTTCTCTTCTTCATAAATTTTTTATTTAATCATTTTCTTCTAGCCATCAATCTAATTTTTCTTTGTTCCTCACAAATTTCCTTTATTTGGCCAAGCAATTATTACAAAGTATGCAGTTAGCTTGCAGCTATGGAATATTTCATTTCAAAGACAATTTCAAGCATTTTAAAGCTTCATTAAGACATGCAACAGAACCAGCACGAGTTCAATGGGCTCCTGCTCTTGCAGCATTTTGGGGACAGCCTTAGGCAGTAATCTCACCACACTGAACCTGCATGAGTACTGTAGGCATAAAAATAATAAAAAAGCAGGCACTGTGCTTGTTTGTTATTAAATAATCAATTCACACCAGCTTCTACTGAGACAGTATCTCACAGGATGTGTGTCCCTTTCTTTCCCCAGGTGAAATAAAGTAGTTTTACTGGGAGCAGCTAGTACTGCTCTTCCCATCTTTCTGCAACATGCAAGTCCTTCTGCAAGATACATTCAGGGCAGCCAAGGAAGGGCAAGAGCAGTACATAGACATGGGATATTCTGGCACACGTGAACTACCCAGGGAACATTTGCTTTCAGCTGGTAACTAAAGGACCCAGCAATAACATCTCCATGAGAAGTTGTAACTGTATTACACATATAAGGTGATTACAGTCAAGAGCAATGATGATGTATTTGGTAGGGAAGGGGGATCTAGAGTCCCAGCCACAGTGAATGGTCATATATTTGAATAAACAATACATCATATATTCCCACATACGTAAAAAAATCCAGAGGATTCCCTGCTGTTTTCCATGTGCCTACCTACCTCTCTAATTAGATTATACCCTTTCCCTCTGATAGGCTATGCAGATGATGAGAGGCCTTCTTCCTATGAAGATAGGCTAAGAGAGTTGAGGTTGTTCAGCCTGGAGAAGAGAAGGCTCCAGGAAGACCTTACAGCAGCCTTCCAGTACTTAAAGGGGGCCTACAGGAAAGCTGGAGAAAGGCTTTTTACAAGGGTATGTAGTGATAGGACAAGGGGCAATGGATGTAAAC